TAGCGTCTAGACTCAATTCGGTCGTAAGTGCCAAATTCCATCCCATTTAGACAAATATTAGACGTTTGGTTCACAATAAAATGTAAATCGGACGAAGTTATATATGGGAGCTATATCCAAATCTGAACGGATCTCGATAAAATTTTGCAAAGGTATTTCTGAGCCGTATTTGATATATTTCCCCAAATATTTTTGCTGCAGAGTGCATATTACGGCTGCGGAGGACAAAAATAACAAATCGGATAAACAATATATATGGGAGCTATAGCTATATCTGAACCGATTTCGATCAAATGTTGCATACTTTTTTTCAGGCCTAATTTGGGTGTATATGCAAAATTCCATACAATTCGGGCTCATATTACACGTTTGGTGCACAATAAGAGGCAAATCGGATAAAGATATATATGGGAGCTATATCTAAATTTTGACCGATTATCTCCAACTTCAATAGGGTTCGTCCCTGGGCCAAACAAATGATCTGTGAAAAATTTCATCTGGATCGGGCAATAAATGCGACCTGTACTTTGTTTACAAAAATACATGGATAGACGGACGGACGGACATGCATAAATCGACTCAGAATGTGATTCTATGCCGATCATCAAAAGGAACTATGGGTCTATCTCGTTTCCTTTTGCCTGTTACAAACAAATGCACGAAGACATAATACCCTGACCACCTTGTGGTGTAGGGTATAAAAATTATCGTGTTTACTTGCCACATAGGTCAGCTGAAAATGTGCACTTTCAGTTGGCCACCAGAACTTAGGCGCCGGCTATGGTGATGTTGTGACCCGCCATAACAGCCGATGGTCGCTCTCCGCTCGTATTAATCGGCATCAGAATAAATGCCGAATCTTATCGCGAAAATATTCTGAAGGGTGTATTGAAGCCTTGGGCACGTAAACATTTTGGCCGCAGACCTTGGACATTCCAACAGGACTCAGTACCATAGCACTCAGCACGCGCCACCCAAGAATGGTTACAAAATGAAGTTCATCGCTTCATTTCCAGCGCACAATGGCCACCAAAATCTCCGAATACCAATCCGATGGTCTATTGTCTCTGGAGTATTTTAGAAAGCAATGTTGGTACTAAAAAAATAACAAAGTGTCGATCACCTCAAGCAAGCGCTTCGCCGAGAATGTGCCAAAATATCGCAGAGCAACATTCGGGCAGCGTGTGACGGTTTCATTGGCCATTTGAAGTCCATAATTCTTGCCAAAGATGACCAATTCAAACAAATCTAAACTTATTCTAAAATTTGATGTTATTTCCGATATTTTTCAATAAAATAAAAAAAGGCGTTTGACTTTGTTGCAGTTTTTTATCTCACCCTTTATAGATTGGTAGTTAGGTAAGATCTAGACTTTTGACTTTTGATTGAAATAATTTTTTAACTTTACTTTCATATCTGCTGGATTTCCCCCTTAATAATAAAAAAAAATTGTCGCACAGTGTTATTTTATTAATTGTTGTCACTGTTCAAGGCATAGTAGTAATTCGGTATTATACCCTACAAAACTATGTGTTGGAGGCATTATAAGTTTGATTGAGCCAAAAATTATGTAACACCTCCAAATAATTGTTTCCGACATATAAAACTATATATGGATCTTCCTATCTCGCGAGCTGAATTGATCTTGCAATCAATGTACGTCCGTTCGTCCGTCTGTCCATGTTAATTTGTAATCACGCTATAGCTTGCAATTGTGGCCCGATCCTCACGAAATTGAAAATGGACGTGGGGTTAGGGTCAGAATAGAACCCTATTGTTTTTGGAGATGATCGCACAATATTTACGGGTTGAAATGGAGCAGAACATTTTGCTTATTTTGCAGTTGTTCTATAGGCCACAATTATGAACCACTCTACACGGAAATTTGCATGGAATTAGAGTTCAGGGCTGGGTAGAAGCTAACCAATTTGGATGGTAATCGGAAAATATTTTGCGGGTAAAACAAAACATAATTTTATGTCAAAAATACGAAATTTGCCACTAAACCGCGAATATTTTTGGTCACGGTCAAATCACAAATACATTAAAAGGTCACTTCTAACCATTTCATAGATGTAAATAGCCAAGACATCGGATATGTAGCAAAATATATACAAGATATATGTAAAAGAAATAGATCTTAGTTATTCTGCTTATAAATCAAGAACCGCAGGACATATTTTCATGATTCTCATCAAATCGGAATGGTTTCTTGCCAGAAAAGGATAATATCTAAGCATTTTGGATGACCATTGGATTATATTTAATTGTAAAATGGACCACAACTTTCGTGTGAAATTGTTTTGAATGCCTACCAACACGACGGATTGAGGAAATATTGGGCAAATGCCCCCGGTCAAAAAGCTAAGGGTAGGGCTCTATGATAACATATCAATAACGAAATTCTCCGAAATGGATTTGGAAATAAGGTGCCTTTTAGCATATTCTAGTGTTGTAGGGTATCACATGGACGGCCCGCACAATCATAGCCTTTGCATACTTGTTATACCCTCCACCATACTATGGAGGGTATATTAATTTTGTCATTCCGTTTGTAACTCCTCGAAATACTCATGTCAGACCGAACAAAGTATATATATTCTTGATCAGCATAAAATTCTAAGACGATTTAGCCATGTCCGTCTGTGTGTCTGTCTGTCCGTCTGTCTGTTGTAATCACGCTATCTTTCGAACAAATTGAGATAGAAAGCTAAAATTTTGCACACATGTATATTTTGCAAGTAGGCAGGTTAAGTTCGTAAATGGGCTATGTAGGTCCAAGTTATCATATAGCCCCCCATATAACGGTACCTCCCGATATTCGGTATTTTGATGATTTTAGCAACATTATTCACCGGAATTGTTTCAAATTTGGCATTTGAAGTTCGTAATAGATACTACAGCCTAAGACAGAAAATTATCTTTGCAGGTCTACGTCTTCGTATAGCCCCCATATGACGGTACCTCCCGATATTCGGTATTTTGATGATTTTAGCGACATTATTCACCGGAATTGTTTCAAATTTGGTATTTGAAGTTCAAAATGGATACTACAGCCTAAGACAGAAAATTGTCTGTGCAGATCCACGTCTTCGTATAGCCCCCATATAACTGTACCTCCCGATATTTGGTATTTTGTTGATTTTAGCGACATTATTAATCGGAATTGTTCAAAATTTGGTATTTGAAGTTCGCAATGGATACTACAGCCTAAGACAGAAAATTGTCTGTTCAGGTCCACGTCTTCGTATAGCCCCCATATAACGGTACCTTCTTATATTCGGTATTTTGTCTTTATTCACCAAAATTTTTCAAATTACGCATTTAGAGTTCGTAATGGAAACTCCAGTCTTTTACAGAAAATTGTCTATGCAGGGCCAGGTCTTCGTATAGGCCCCATATACCAGTACCTCCCTATATTCGGTATTTTGACGAGTTTAGGTACAATACTCACCGAAGTTGTTTGAAATGTCGTATTTGAAGTTCGTAATGGATGCTGCAGAATATGACAAAAAATTGTCTACGCAGGTTCAGGTCTTCGGACAGCTCCGATATAACGGTACCTCCCTATATTCTATACTTCGATGATTTTAGCTACATTATTCGCGTTTATTGACTCATGACAAATAATGCCTGTGTGGGTCCACGTCGTATAGGCACCAATATAACATAATATTCGGTATTTTTAAAATTTTACAAAATTTTTTTCAGGATTTTATTTCCAAATTAGTTCCAAATGGTGGAGGGTATTCAAAATTCGGCCCGGCCGAACTTAATGTTTTTTTTACTTGTTTTTGATATCGAATTGTTTTTGTTATTGTATGATAGCATCAATATTTGTGTTTCATGTTATTTGAGGTTTTATTTATAGTTATCATCATTTCAGGTATCTAATAGAGTTGCTCTACTTGCATGGCCTCAAACTAAAGTGTCAACATTCGACATTAAGTTGAAAGGTCAAATGCAGTTTTCCTCTGGCATCTCGTATACGGCATACAATTACAATATATGTGATTCGGGGCAATAGATTTTAACAGCAATCCTACTGCATGTTGGATACACAAAACCTTACAGATATTCGATAGATGTCAATTAATTTTATTTCCATTATGGAGTATTAGAGGTTATCCGTTGGCCCCCACAGTTGGTTTTAGTAAGGACGCTGAAATATTTGCGGATAAACTTGTATAGTTTGTGTGTTACTATCTAGGATGATGATGACGACGAAGGAGTTGGTCTTGGGTAAGTACGTAAATATTTGAATAATTGTTTACTTATATCTTTGAAATTTAAACAATAAAAATAATTTAACATTTCTTAATACATATAGTCTTCCAGTTTTACTTCATAGTAGCATTTTGCGATTACAAAATGTTGTTATTAATGCCTAAAGTCAATATCCTTTCAAATATTTTATCACAATAACTTATGGTTATCATTCATACATTATTCAAAAAATCCCATATCCTCCTCTCATTTGTTGCCGTCATAGCTTGCATTTTAATATTGAACTGAGTTTTCATAACATATTTTTTTTTTTTTTTTTTTTGTTTTTGTTTATTTTTAATGAAAGTCCTTGACAAGTTTCCACACTTTTCTCTCACTTTGAATCGTTCTCAACACCGCAACCCATTCGCAAGTGTGAACTGAAGTGATCGCTATATAATTATGACCAGTCATCATTGTGAGGTTGTTTTTAATTAAAAAAAAGCTGCTTCTTTTTCCCCTTTTCCATTTTTTTTTTCTTTTTCCATTCTCTACAACTGAAAGTTGATTGCATTCATGGCACAAAGATGCACTCTTATGCAGCAGTGGCCTGGTTATAATGCCGAGGAAATGAAGGTCTTTAATAAACGTACATCAGGGCGTATGGCGAATATATCAATAGTATTCATACGCCTAATGGCCATGTGGTTTTGCATGATGGGAGAACTGGTGGAGGAAACCATTAAAATTTGCTTTAAAGCTAGTCGATATATTGGGAAAATATTTTATATTACCTTTAACTCTTTAAATAAAAGATATCCAAAGTAGTCCTTATCTAAAATGTACCTGAAAAAGATCGTGGAGAAAAGACATTAATATTAAATGTGGCTTATTGTGTAAAATAAAATATTTTGTTTTTTTACCAATTAATAAAAATATTTAATCTGAGGAATCGACCCCGACTCATATTTGTATTATTGAGATTTTCTATCAGAGCTATAATCATGGATTTATAAACAATGTTTTTTTAAAGAACAATTTATCTTTACAACACAACATATATTATATAAGGACAGTTGTTCGTGTATTTATAAGCACACGTTTGTTTCTGCAACTATGACAATGCGACAATTTTTGTTTCCTACAAATGATTTCAAAGACTATCTGAGCTAATATGCTTCATTTGTATTAACTTTTTTTTTCCTAGAATTATCAATAATCTTGGTTTTACACAATTTGTTTTTCATGGACTATAGGAGTAGTAATCGTGGATTTATAAAAAAAATATTTTTCGAGGACTATCAATGCTATAATCATAGATTTACGCCGATTTTTTTTTCAAGGATTATCTTTTAAAGAATATTTATCAAGAGATTGCTGGAGCTTTAGGCACGGATTTACAAACGATATTTTTTAAGGGCTATCTAGGCTATAACCGGAATTTATAAGATATATTATTCAATGAATAAAGGAGCAATAACCATGGATTTATGAACAAAAGCAAGGAATATCTGATCTATAATTTGGTTTTATAAAATACATTATCTCAAGAATCATCAGAGCTACAAAAGCGGATTTTCAAGGAATATATATTTTTTTTAGATATTCAAACATATATTCCCGGATTTCTATGGAAAATTATTTGAAAATTATCAGAGCCATAATAAGGGATTTTTTCTGGGACTATCGGAGAAATAATTTTGGATCTGTAAAAAAAACATTTTGCTGAGAATTTTCCAGAAAAAAAATTTATTCGTGATGAAATTTAAGCGTGATAGTGTGATTCCTTTATATTTAACTGGAAAACCACAAGTGGCTATCGTTAGAGCACTCCAGCTTTTAAATGTGAATAAATCTTTTGTGTTTCGTACCATCGCTCGTTACCGTGATACTGGTAGCGTAGCACGACGTCAAGGAAGTGGACGGAAGAAAACAGCAAAATCAGCACAGATTGTTCGAAAAGTAATAAAGCGCATTTATCGAAACCCACGTCGTGAACTGAACATGCCGCAATATTCCATTCGGCAAATATTGAAAAATGAGCTGGGGGTAAATCCATTGAAATTCCAAAAAGTGCAAGAACTTATACCACAACTGAAAGAAAATAGACTGAGAAGAGCTTCGCTTGGCTGAAAGTGGTGAAATTCCAAATTTGGTTTTCTCCGATGAGAAAGCATTCGTTGTCCAGCAGTTTTTAAACAAACAAAATGATCGTGTTTACTTGCAAAAGGGGTCAGCTGAAAATGTGCACCTTCGGTTGGCCCCCAGAACTCAAGCGCCGGCCACGGTGATTCTGTGGGACGTCATAACAGCCGATGGTCGCTCTCCGCTCGTATTAATCGACCGTGGCAATCAGAATTGAAATTCGAAAAAGTGCAAGAACTTATACCGCAACTGAAAGAAAATAGACTGAGAAGAGCTTCGCTTGGCTGAAAGTGGTGAACTGCCAAATTTGGTTTTCTCCGATGAGAAATAATTCGTTGTCCAGCAGTTTGTAAAAAAACAAAATGATCGTGTTTACTTGTCAAAGACATCAGCTGAAAATGTGCACCTTCGGTTAGCCACCAGAACTCAAGCGACCGTGGCATCGGAATAAATGCCGAATATTATCGCGAAAATATTCTGGAGGGTGTATTAAAGCTTTGGGCACGCAAACATTTTGGCCGCAGACCTTGGACATTCCAACAGGACTCAGCACCATCGCACTCAGCAGACGCCATCCAAGAATGGTTACAAAATTAGGTTCCTCGCTTCATTTCAAGCGCACAATGGCCACAAAAATCTCCGGATACCAATCAGTGGGACTATTGTGTCTGGAGTAAAAAATACCAAAGTGTCAATCACCTCAAACAAGCGCTTCGACGGGAATGGGCCAAAATACCGCTGAACAACATTCGCTGAGTATAATTCGTACCAAAGGTGACCAATTCGAACAAATCTAAACTTTTCTAAAATTTGACGCTATTTCCGATATTTTTGCTTTCATTCAATAAAATTCACGACTAATTATTTTCTGGAAATTTTCCACCAAAATGCTTTTGTTCGCTTGTAAACAATATAATGAGCTGTCACTGGAATAATTTTACACAGCTGTCGGACGAGTGGCTAAGAAATGACAGCAGTCTGAAATTGGTTGTAGTTTTTTCATCTCACCCTATATAATTTATGGACATGTCGGTCCAAACTTCAAACATTACAATATCATACAATTTTTTTATAAAATTTAGGGTAGTTTCAAAATGGAAAAATTATATTTTTCTTCAGCTTACTCAACTACAAAGGCCTGAGTCCATGAAAATTGCGAATCTCGAAAGTTGCGAACGAAGTCTTCATAAAATGTTTGCTTAAGTTTGACCAGTTGTTTAGGTCATCTGTATGCATTTACCGACTTCAATATATAAAATATCTGTAAAAGAGATTCAATCTTTAGAATTCAGTGTTGGTATTTTATTTGTACAGAATTATCCTACAGTTTTCATTCATATCTAAATAAACTAAATAAATTATCAACAATTTTTCCTCTTAAATTCTTATTGAATTTCACAGCTATACTTAACTAAATTTATCAAATTTTCACGTTTCCACAACTCAACCTAATAAATAATATTTGCAAAAATGAAATGAAATTTAATCTTGAAATTCAATGAAATTAAAATCATTAGGAGGGGTGGGTTAAAGTAGGGTAGAGTAAACTTTAGTGGGCCACATCTAAATTGTGTAAAACTTTCCAAATTTGCTGCAGGGGGAACGGGCCAGTGGAAGTTTGCCATGTTTACCCTGCAAAAGATATTGGTGTGCCATTTTACTTGCCATTGCTCTGCTTTGCTTTGCTTTGTCGACAAAACTATGACGTCAATGATGATGTGTTAAGTTCGTACACACCCTCATTCTCACTCTCTCTCTCGCTCAGTGTTTCTGCATCACTCTCCTTGAGTTAAGTCGAACCAGAACACTGCTGTGCACCACATTCTATCAATGACGCCATAACGTTTTATGGGTGTTGCTATCTTTTGAACAATACCCCCTAACAACGTAACAACAACGTCGTGCACTGTTTAAGGACTCTCGACCATAAATCTGCAGGAAAAAAAAATAAATTTAATCAATGGGTAACGGAGTGTGGTCAACATGATTTTGGCGACTGAATTGACAATGATAAGGAAAACGAGCGAAAAAAGGAAAACCCGACGTCATAACCCACAACGGAAACCAATTTTTCGAAAGAAAACGTGCTAACGCACACACACACATGCACACAAATTAAACGACAAACGCTAAAATAATAACACTTGTCAGGGCGCAGAATTTCAAGAACTCCATAATTATCGAAATTTCTTTTGTGGCAATGTCGTAAAAGAAAAACCGAGAATACAGCCATTGTTTGGCTATAATGATGTACAATTAAATGGTTTTTGTCAAAGTCCACTGCTTTCTTTTTATGACAACATTAATAAAGCACCAAAGAATAGTGGAAAAAATCGGCCCGCATGGTTCACTACAATTATTTGTTTCCTTTTCTTGTTTAATTTCTTATCCTTATGTCATCAACATCGTGTAATTCACATGTCACCGGACCCAATCCCATATGGCGCCTATGCTGACCATAATCAATTTAGATTTCTATTTATTATAATGAAGTGGGGGGGGAGAGAGAGGGAAGAATAGAGACTGAGAATTGATTTCCAGTGGCAAATAATACGTCATCAACTACTCAAAAATGCCAAAGGCCATTCGGGCCATTTGAGTGATAAGACAAAAAACAAAGACCATAAAAATGATAAATGTATGTGCGTGAAGTAAAGAAAGAAAGATGAAAAACGAAGTGCTAGTGAGAGTCCACCTAAAATCTGGTTCACAATATGTGCCCAAACAGCTGGAAATTATTATGAGAATAGACATTGATTGATAATATTGGGCCAAGAATTCCTTAAGATATTAAAGAGCATTTTTTCAAGGTCAAGCAGAGCGATAATCAGGGTTTTTTAAGAAGATTTCAATTACTCCTATTGGAGAAAATAATTGTGGCTTTGTTAAGAGTATTTTACAAGGATTATCAGAGCTACTGTCATGGCTTTTTCTAAAATTATTTTATCAAAAATTATCATGAGAAATTAAAAACGTATTCATGAAGTAAATTTTCTAAGTATCAGCTAAGGAATATAATCGTGAGTTAAAAAAAAAACATGGACCACCGGAGCTATAGTCGAAAAAATGTAAAGAATATTTTTGAGCGATCAGAAAGATCAGAGTGGATTTCTAAAGAGAACATTCTAAGGACAATTTTAACTATAATAGTGGATTATAAAGAATATTTTTTTATGAATTCTCAGAGCTATCATCTGTATTTATATCTGATGCCACGCTCGATTAATACGAGCGGACAGCGACAATCGGCTGTTATGGCCGGTCCACACCATCACCATGGCCGGCGCTTGAGTTCTGGTGGCCAACCAAAAGTTTACATTTTCAGCTGACCTCTTTGGCAAGTAAACACGATATTTTTGTTTGTTAACAAACTACTGGATAACGAATGTTTTCTCATCGAAAAAAAAAAAAACAAATTCGGCATTTCACAACTTTCGGCCAAGCGAAGCAACTCTTTAGCTTTTTTGAGTCTATTTTCTTTCTGTTGCCGTGTAAGTTCTTACACTTTTTGGAATTTCAATGGCTTTACCCCGAGCTCATTTTTAAGTACTTGCCGAATGGAATATTGCGATATGTTCAGCTCACGAGCCATGTTTCGTCCACAGCGACGTGGGTTTTGATCAAGTCGCTTCTTTATTTTTCGAACCATTTCTGCTGATGTTGCTGTTTACTTCCGTCCAGTTCCTTGACGTCGGGCTACG